CTTTTTTTTAAAGTTTGTTTTTTTTTAGATAAAAGGAAGGAAAATTATCCCAGGGAAGCCATTTTTTTTTAAGGAAAGAATTTTTTTTTTTTAAGGAAAGAGAATTAGTTTTTTTTTTAAATATGAGAAGATAAAGAAAAAGAAAAATCCTAACTAAAACAAATCAAATCAATCACTTTTCAATCAACTCTAATTCTAAGGTTTAGCCTAACTCAACTAGACCAGCTCCTAACCAAAAACTCCTACAGTAAAAAGATAAAAGTTTTACCCAGGTAGTTAGCCAGGTAAGGATAGTACTAGAGGGTGATCAAAGATCAATTAAGTACATCTTTCCTTACGGAGCGCTTTACGCAACCCCTAAACCTTGCCTTAGACACCAACTAATCTGAGAAAACTTAAACCGGTTCACTTAAGGATTTCTTGTTCCTTATTGAGCTCGAATCCTTAGGGGCCAACGTCTAATGAGTTTTATTAGGCTTGGGTGGTGTAGTGAGGAATTAGTGATTTTTGGGCTAAGGAAAGGGTGATGAAATCCCTCACCTTATCTTGATTATGGGGTTTTGCCCTTAAAAATATTTTTAAGTGTGTGTCAAATCAAGATGCTCAAATCACTTGGTGAATTCCTACACTATATGAAATGTATATGAAATGCAACCCTAGAAATTAAAAGCGACTAAAAAGGATGATAAAAGAAAATCTTTTTTTTTAATTAGGGTTAACAATCAAACAAAAGAGAATGAGGAAAATTGTTTGAATTTATTATCTTGTTAGTATTTATTAAAGTGGAGGGTGGATTTTATTATGGTCAACAAAAATAAATTTTTTTTTAATCCTAATTGTCTCTAATTGTGAGAAACTAACTAAAGGTGTGGAAATAAAAATATTAGAAAGAAGACTTACCACAAGCGAATCTCCAATTCCTCAATCTCCAATTCTTTGGTCTTTAATCTCCAAGTAGTTCCTTCACAAAAACACAAAAGTTAAAGAACCAAAATAATAAAATCCTATTTTAGCACCTTCCCCGGCAACGGCGCCAAAAACTTGATGCGGCATAATTATGTACCAAAATTGCAAGTGCACAATTTATCAAGTTATAGTATAAAAAGATATCGATCCCACGAAGAAGGTGATTTTAAGAGATTATTAAACTTGGTTCTTATATTTTGTGCGTGACAATTAGGGAATAAAGAATAAGTGTGATTTTGTGAGTGATTGTTATGAATATATGCAAAAGATAATAAATTGAATTTTAGAGGAGAGAAGGAAGAATTAAAGAATAAACGAAATCACAATGCAAGAAATATGAATTAATAAAATCAAGAAATAAAACCAAAAATAAAAAGTAAATTTAAGAAAGTTAAGATGAATGATTCAAAAGAGGTAAGAAATCTAGAATATAATCCACTAACCAAT